CTATGTAGATGCTGCTGTGGACATTTATGTGATACTCCCTTCTGGCAGTGTCCATGTAGCCGAGGGTAACCTAGAATGCATGTCCCTGCCTTAGCCTCTGAAGTGCTGGGGCTTCAAACATGGAAACCTCTTGTCATTAAGTGAGATAGAAATGCTCACTTACTCAGTGTACATACCCAAGAATGAAACTTAAGTATATGGTAAGTGTATTTTAAACAAAAAATGACGGTCTACACACATGCATTCACATGCCACAGTGCATGTGTGGAGGTCAGCAGACAGCTTCTGGAAGTCAGTTCTTTCCTTCCTTCCATCCTGTGGGTTCCAGGGCCTGGCAGCATCTCCCCTGCTAAACCATCTTGCCAACTCAAAGCTTACATTTTCTAGGAAAGTGACAGTATATTCTGAGAGTCATGTTCTTATTTTTACTTTTCATCTACTCTGCTAAGTACCAAGGGATAAAAATGTAGGTTTCCTACGTGGTCCTCACTGTCACCCCCGTGGGGCCAGGTGTACCTCATTACTGTTAGGATGGGTGAGAATTCTGACTAGGCTTCTGTTGACAGTCATATAAGAGGGAGAACAGACCTCCTAACTGTTCCCTAGGGACCTCCAATGGTACTTTGGTGCCTGGGGTGGAGTACTCACTACCATTGGAAGGGGATAAAAGTAGATTCAGATTTGGAGTTTGCAGATGCCACCTCAGGGCAAGGGGGTCTGTCATAGACAGGTGCAAGCAGAAGTCTGAATCCCCCATAGTCCTGACTAACAGTGGAGGGCCCAGCATTTTCTCTGGTGTGTGGGTGGGGTGGGATGGTTATTGTTTGGCTGCTCTCCATTCAGTCCTTTGACTGGACAGGGCTAGCTTTTCTGGGTTTCCCTTACTCCCTTCTAGCAGTGTCCATGTAGCCCAGGGTAACCTAGAATGCATGTCCCTGCCTTAGCCTCTGAAGTGCTGGGGCTTCAAACATGGAACCCTCTTGTCATAAAAACCTGCTGCCCAAAGGATAAAGTCTTGGCTGTTACCATGGCCGTTTGCTGCTCTTCACTGCCTCGCTGCAGCTAAGAACAGCCATCTCTTCTGGGGTTTCCACCGGGCACATGTGCTTGCCAGCTATGTAGAATTTCCTGTTACCATTTCTTCGTACCATGCTTTTTCATGGTGTGTTGTTTTGCAGATGTCCTCTGTTGGTCCCACCTTCTCATCTTTTCTGCTTGGTAAGCAGCTAGCCATTCCTCAAATGTAGACCACCTTCTGAGATTTAGAAGTATTTGACCCTGTCTCAGGGCTACCCTCGCAGTAGGAACATGCTCTGTAGCCTGTTCTTGTTTGCATTGATTTTTCCAGCTTACCCTCACAGTGGGATTGCACTCTACACCTCTGACCTATTTAACTGTAAATCCCTTGATGTAAGGCACTGTGTCTTTTGTTCACCAGTCTGTCCTCAGCCCAGCCCAGAACTGACACTAAACAAATGTTTACTACGTCATTACTTCACCCAGACACCCCGCAACTCGCAAGGCTAGGCCTACTGAGACAAACTCACTTTTACCATTGCCACATTTCCCTTTACAATTTTTCCTGAAACAGAGCAACTTTGAAAATTTTGATAATTAACATCTCCGCCATACTGTTATCCCTTCGTAATGATGTCCAGGCTGTACTGTCGCTTCACCTGCTTCTCCATTAGTGTTCTGAGGAGGCTGACTATGGGAAAGGCACCAGATGTGGTTTCTAAAGCCAGTTCTTGAGACCATTACTAACCCTGAGTCCAGTCCTCAGCTGAGAAACTGAAGCCCTGTTTGGAACTAGTTTATCAAGGTAGAAGTTTTCTTGAACAGGTGTTTTAGAACTGTAGCCTTTATTAAGAAATGTAATCCTTTTCAATATGAGCTTCTTGTTTGTCTTGGGCTGTGAGGGTTTTGGTAGTAACTTTGTAATGAGAGTTCAATGTCTGACATTTGAGATAATAGCATTTTCATTTTTATGTGCTTTATTTAACCCTACATACATCCTTGTCAACATGAGCTAGCACAGCACTTACTATAATCAGTAAGCTAAGCTGAATATACATACAAACACACCGTTAGGGATTTTGTAAGACAAACCTGTGCCACCATACATATCAACTCTTTGTAAGAAATCTGACCTAGTGTCTTATCATAATCTCTCCACTTACAAGACCTATTGAACATGTCAGGAACTATTACTTAGTTTTATATAAGTAATTTCTAGTTATTACAGCCACCTTGTAGTATAGTTGTTATTGTTCATGTTTTGTAGACTTGAAAACTGAAGTTGAGTTGTATCTGAGCCAGAATTGTCCCTGACTCTGAACAGTGTTTTATTTTTGTATACCAATCTGTCTCTCAATGAAAAATCCTAGTATTATATTTCTCCTAATATCCTGACTTCCCACCCATTCAGTCACATTTCTGAGACATAGTTTTATTGTCTGTTTTATAAGCTAGAAATGGGAAGAGGTAAATGCACTTTTTAAATGTTTGTGTATATACTGACATTTGCATTCCTTTGTCTGGTAATTTGGCATTTGGTAATATTCAGGAGCATTCAAGACCTTTTATCCCATTGATAAAATCAAGGAAGACACTCATTACTATATCTAAAAGGGTCTAAACAGTTCATTAGCTGTCCAGAAAGTCACATGGGTGATCAGTGAAACTTAGTAGTGGTTGGAACTGATGCTTGATGGGTAAAAAGGCCAATAACATCGGGCTTTCTTCCTTACAAGTGCCCAAGAGGTCTGCCAATCAGGAACTAGGATATTTTCCTTCAGTGGCTTACTGAGTGGCTACTCCCTTCCCCATGTCTTCAAACACCAGTCATATCCCACAGTGTTTGAGAAGGTGCTGTGTAGGGTGCAGGGCAACATCAGGAAGGTGAGGCACAATTGGAGAGGTGCTGGTAGTGAGGTACCTGAGTTGTAATACTCCTCTTTGTCACTCTCAAACAGCAGGAAGCAAAGCATCTAGTGGGTTCCAGTGATGATTGACATGTCCCAGTTGCTACCCTGTCCTCTGGACAGGGATAAATGGCCCAAATCCATAGGCAGTGATTTAGACAAGGCAAAAACTGTTTGAGAACTGGCTCTGCTCCCAGGTTGGCACATAGTGGTGGCATAGTCACGTAGCCTTCAAGAGTTCCAGCACCCAGCAAATACAACTATCAAAAAGACACCAGCAAACTTCTAAAGAGCATGCAAAACACACTCTAGTGAGCCGCCTTCCTTGATTCCTCTTTGAAATGGAAAGACAGCTGTCCTGCACTGCTCAAGCCTAGAAGCTGTGGAAATGGTCTCTTCCATTCCTTTACTGACATCCACTACTGGGTGACCCCAGATGGCCAACCAGCAGTTTCCTTGGTTCATTTGTATTCCAAGATGGTCCTCCTTTTAGCCCCTGGCTATCAGTACCTATGATTCCCAGGAGGCCAGCTCTGTCCTCTATTGTGTCTTCTTTTCATCAGGAGTGCTTACCACCTAGGATTGGAGTGCCCCAGGCAAAGGAGAGCTTCCAGTGATACTACCTGTTAGTATTCAGGCATCTGTACTGGCCTGTCCTTGGAGTTCTGATGGGTTATGTCCTCAGTGCGTGTTCATTATGTTCCCTTTTAAAAGGGCCCTGCCTACCTCCCATCCTCTTTTTTTCCCTTCTTTCCCCCTCTCTGTCTCTCCCCTCTCTCCTGCTATTCCTGTCCCCGGAGGCTGGTCTCCCCCATCCCCTTCCCTCTTTTTATGATTTCCCCACCCCCCAATAAAAACTTCCACTTGAATGTTGTCACATGCTATCTTTGTCTCTTGCACCCATGTTTTAAAAAAAATTACAACACTACCTATTTTGATAATTCCCACTTCACCGAATGGTAAGAAAGGAAAGCACGTAGGCACAGTATATGTTTTTTTATTTATTTATTGTTCTGTGTGTGTGTGTGTGTGTGTGTGTGTGTGTGATGTGTTGTGCAATTGCCTGTTCTTGCACATACAGTAGCCTGAGTAAAGACCATGAGTGTCTTCCTCTATCATTCTCCATTACAAATACTGTTTGGTGTAGGTTGACTAATCTGTCTTCATCTGCTAGCGCTGAGGTTATAGACACAGGAAGCCATGCCTGGCTTTTTATGTGGGTGCTGGAGATTCAGACTCAGGTCCTCATGCTTGTAGAACTAGTGCTGTCCCTGAGTCATCTCACTAGACCCTGTGTGGTGTACTTAAGGATTTCACTGAGCCGCTCTACGTGATAGATACTCTTGGTGTCCCAGCATTTTACAGGACCTGTTATTTGTGCCTCCTGTCTGTTGCCTTTCTTCTTCCTCTAACCCTTTACCCCTGGCCTTGACTTGTTGCCATCATTTCTGGCACCAGACCCATACTCCCAACTGCTGGTAGTATTCGAGGGTTTTACAACTCTGCTCACCCTGTTTCTTTTCGATACCAGGGCTGACTAGCCAAGCCCATTACCCTGAGTCCTCCCCTGTTTGGTGGAGCTGTTGCTGCGCCTCCCTGACCTTGCTCTGAGGACTGGGCACTCCTAGGAGTTAGGGGTGGGTGGGGTTAGGGCTGAAACCCATTTGCACAGATGCACTCCTATTTTATGTTCTATTAACAAGTTTACTTTTCAGGCGAATACTTCCCTTTCCACCCTCTTCCCTTTCCCTTCTCAGTATTTTGCCCTTGGTTTCCTATACAAGACTCTCAGCATGGCTTCTTTTTATAGGTGGAAATACACCCTGCTATCTTCAAGCTAGAGGTAGTCATTTTTATGAGCACTGAAGACCCTTCCTTATAGCTCTTCACTGCCACCTGGCTGCTTGTCTCTAAAGGGGAGATTGGGGAGCTGGCAACATTGTTACTGCGGGCAGAACTGGGTATCTAGTTAGTGGAGGTTCAGAAAGGCTCCCCACTAGCTTAGTAAGCAGTTTGGAATCTGAGCAGGCAGGGCTCTGGGTGAGCTCCCACACTCAGATCACTGTGCTAGCTCTCACAGAGCGCCGGATTTGTACTATGTCACCGCACAGCACCACTCAAGACAGGTAGCACTGCAGACAGGACGTCACACAGAGTTGATGACTTGTAGGACTGCTGTTTTCAGTTCCCTATCCTCCGTGAGTAGTGAAACGGAAAAGCACAGACCAGAAAGAGGAGCCCCAGGAAACTCGGACTGTCGATCCCTGAAGCGGAGAGAAAGTTCGAGAAAACAGGTGGTAGTGCACAGAAAACAGTTTTTAGTGAACGCAGAGGGATAGCAGGGGTTTGCACTCAGCACGACCCAGAAGGAATGGAGGTCAGGTGCAAGGGGCGGGGGCTCTGGCCACGGGCCTGGCTGGGGCGGGCCAGCCGGCGGGGCATTTAAACCACAGTCGACCGCCGCGGGGACGCGCGCCAGCTGTGTCCTCCGTCGTCCCAGCTCCGGGTACTGGCCTCGCAAGATGCGGTCTTCCCTGGCTCCGGGAGTCTGGTTCCTCCGTGCCTTCTCTAGGGACAGCTGGTGAGCAAAGCTGGGGAGGGAGGCTGCTGGGACGCTCAGAGGCGCACTCAGTGACTGAGGTCTCTGCTTGTTCCTGGGGTGGGGGAGGGGGATTCTAGCTCTCTCTGACAGGGGCTCCCTTCAGTGGTGCAGGCATAGGTTAAAAACACAGACCTATTAATTCCATATTAGCTAGAACTAATGTATGACCCTTGTGAAGAACAAGCTGCTAGGAGTCTTCATCCTCTCCGGTTTACCACCCATATCTGCAAACACAGATGTAATAGGCAGGTACCTATAGAGTACCTCCAACTCTTACCTGAGCACTTAAGGGATCTGGACTTCCCTGTGTGGAACCCAGGCCAGGGAGTAGTAGAATGTAGAGTTGGCCAGGGAGCTTAGGTCCTATTTTAGTTTATTTATTGGATTAGGTAAAAGAAGCCAGAAATCACTGGTTCTGGGAACCTTCTTGGGGGACACTGGTTAGGGCAGGTCTCTGGGAATAGAGCGGCAGCTGCCCCCAACACTGGGTGGTCACCCTTAAAAGCATGAGCTGGCTTTCATAGTAGTTGTTCCCATGACCACAAGGTCACCCATCTGCTGGAAGGAAAGGCTTCAGCCACTCTCCAGAGCATTTGGAGCAATGGGTTTGCTCTGGACGGCAGAGGGTGGGGGAGTAAGGGGGGAGGTGGGGGATTTAAAATATTTTATTAGTTGCCAGCATTTAAAACTATAAAACTTAACAAAATGGTCAGCTGCTGGCTTCTTTTGAAAAACAAATGAGACAGCATTGCCAAAACTAAATTCTCAAATTAAACTCAGGGTCACCTTTAGATTGGGCAGATCAATTTAGAGAGTGATCCATTTGGCCTGGTTTGGTTTTGTTTTTCAAGACAGGTTTTCTTGTGTAGCCTGGCTCTGTAGACCAGGCTGGCATCGAACTCATAGAAATCTGTGTGCCTCTGCCTGGGTTTAAAGGCCTGCGTCACCACTGCCTGTCTGGCAGTTGGCCCGAGCAGTTGGCCTGGTCTTAAAAGTGTTTGATTTCCAGCCCTGTCAATCAGGCTAGTCATCACATACAATATCCTTGAGATGGTTTATCTGGTCCTTTTTAAATTTGGAACTATTAAACAGTTTTGTGTTTTCAAAAAGATATAAGATGACTCTGATAATGGTGTTAACATGAGCGTGTGTTAGAGAGTGGCTCTCCCTCATAATGAAGGAACTAGAAGATGTCATAATTGGGTGGGAAGATAATTCAGAGGGGGAGTGGAGCGTTACTATTTAATGGACATGGATAGCAGCCATGGGTGCACAATGTGAATATGCTTGCTCCTGACTTTAAATTTAAAGGTGATTGAAATATACTTTTTATGCTATTTATATTTTACCACAGTTTTAAAAGCATAATACACATAAACTCATTTATACATTAAGACTCTTGACAGTATCTCACAAGTGGACGTATTTTACAAGACTTCAGAGAATAAAAAAGCTCAATGTCAAGAAAAACTCAAATCAGGATAAATGATGAATCAAATTCAGATAACCTAGAGCGTGTCCTCTCTTCAATACATCAGTTTTCTCTATAGACTCCATTTCAACTTTTTTAATATCTAAGAAAAGAAAATTTGATCACAATAAAGTGGGTCTCCTTAGATTTAATCTGATTGTTTGCCTGTGTACAGCAAAATCATTAATTAACCAGGTAGGCGATGCTAAATTTGTGTTGCTAGAAGTTTTCATAAGGAACTTAAAAAACAAATAATTTAAGTATGTGTGTGTGTGTGTGTGTGTGTTTTCCCTTTGGTGGGTAGTGCATGTGTGTCCCTGTGGAGGTCAGGGATCAACCTCAGGTGTCCTTCAGGAGCTGTCCCATCCTAGCACTCAGCTCTGTGGAGCTTTAAGTCACTCTAACCTGTCTCTGCCTTCCCAGCTCTGAGCACAGATGAACCACCACCATGCAGGACCTGTAATATAGGTGCTGAGGAGAAAGCTCAGTTTGTGCAACAAGCACTTTGCTGGCTGAGCCATCGCTCCAGTCTTTCAAGGGAGTCGTGCATTGTTACTGTTTTTTTTTTTAATAGTCATTTTACTATTTATTTCCTTGAGATGTCAGGAATGTTTTCTACCAGATTTTACCTGCTGTAGTTATATAGATTTGAGCAGGTCCCTCTTTTGCTAGGTCCCCTAATATCCTAAGGCAAAAGACCCAAAAAACTGAGTGACTTTATTTTCTACCTGTAAGACCAGGAACTCAGAAAACCACTTTCCTTGGGAGTGCTCTATTGGTATTGACTCCATGCAGTAAGCCTCAGTTCCTTCAAAGGGGCTGACACCATTAGTATTTAATAGCTGTCCTCCCAACTCCTGGAGTACAATCAGTCGAAGTGAGGGAGGAGCGATAATGTGAAGAAAGGAGTCAAGACCATGATGGGGAAACCCACAGAATCAGCTGATCCAAGCTAGTGAGAGATCACTGACTCAGGTCTGGCAAATGGGGAACCTGCATAAGACCAAACTAGATTCCCTTAATATAGGTGGCAATGGTGTGACTGGGACAAAATATGGGGCCAATGGCAGTGGGTCCAAGGTCTAACTCTAAAGCACAAGCTAACTTAGTGGAGCCTATTCTATATGGAGAGATGCCTTGCTCAGACTACACACAAGGGGTGGAGGGGGAAGTGCCTTGGTCCTGCCTTGATCAGATGATGGGACAGACTTAGTAGGCATTACCCTGTCTGAAGAGCAGATTTGCGGGGGGGGGGGAGTGGTGGAATACAGGTAGCAGGAGAAGAGGAGGGAGGGGTAACTGGGATTGGAATGTAAAAAATACATTAATAAATTTTTAAAATGGAAAAAAAAATAGCCATCCTTGTCAAATACAATATCCAGCCAAGGCCTTAGTTATATAACCAGCTCTTCTAAATCTGTTCTTCTTAAAAAGAGAGATTCTTATGGAAGTTTTACAAATAGCCATATCAGCCTGTAAGACTCAGAAGTTTTTGCATTTCAGTTTATAAAGAATACAATGCCTGCTGGGCAATGATGGCACATGCCTTTAATTCCAGCACATGGAAGGCCGAGGCAGGTGGATCACTGTGAGTTCGAGGCCAGCCTGGTCTACAGAGTGAGTTCCAGCACAGGCTCCAAAGCTATCCAGAGAAATCCTGTCTCAAAAAACCAAACAAACAAACACAAACAAACAAAACAAAAAGTGCCTATTACATTGCTATGGGTTATGGATCACTTAAGAGGAAAGAAAAAGGTCTTTCTTATACAGGCATCCTGAAAATGGAGCACTATAATAACATTTCAAGCATAAGTGACAATAACTAGCAGTTCACTTGCTCCTGTGTTATTAGTGCTGGTCCTCCACATCTTGGCTTAGCAGTCGCTGGAACTCAGCTTCCTCTTATACAAGTCTTCTAACTATCCTCTACTGTGCACTTAATATTGTTCAGGTGCACTTAATATTTCTCAGCTTATAAAAATGAACAAACACTATTTTTAGAGAGATCCAACACAAGCTTTCTGAGATGAGCTGGAAAGATGGCTCATCCACTATGAGCAGTGGCTACTCTGGCAGAGGACCCAGGATCTATTCCCAGCACCCACATGGCAGCTCACACTTCAATTCCAGGGGATCTGATGCCTTGTGGCCTCCCTGGGAACCAGACATGCACACAAACATAGATACAGGCAAACACTCATACACATAAAATAAAAATAAATACATTCTTAAAGAAAATTGAGATTCATTCACATAATATACCAAGAGTACAATCAAACAAAAAAGAGTAAGTTTGAAGTAGGTCCCTATGCATCTGATAAAGGTAAAGACCAATAGCCTGGATGATGCTATATTTCAAATTAAAGAAATAGAGTTGTAGCTTGTGCAACTCTGCACGCTGCCATCAGACAAAGTAACATCATGGTCAGTGAAAATGTGGCTGGGCCTGTAATTCTCTGCTACTCAGGAAGCTGAGACAGGAAGATTGGGAGTTCAACCTGAGCAAGTAGAAGGACCCTGTCTCAATATATAAAGGCTAAGCATGTAACTTATTGATAGAGCACTTGTCTAGCACATACAAGGCCCTAGGTTCAATCTCCAAATATGAAAAAAGCAGGGCGGGGGACAGAGAAGGCATCTAGAAATCTGAGTAACTTCTCATACAGAAATTTCTGAACTATTTTGTACAAATAACAGCATTTTATGTGTATGTTCAATGTAGAGAAGACTGATTATCTCTTCTGAGATCCTGGGGATTCTAACACTAATTGATGAATATTGGTATGCCAAGCCTTACTAGTTTCAGGCTTCTCTTTTTAAAAGGTAAAAGACCAAATCTGAGTGGTTTTCCAGGAACCTGATTTTCAGACTTCTGTGAGACAAGTCATCAAACCTGAGCCTGCTTTGGCAAGATCTTAACACACTAATTGCTTCTTTTCAGAATTGTTACTTGAACCTACTACAGTCCCGGGCAAATCACACATCCATGGACAAACACATCTCATAACCATGTGTTGCAAATGCTCTACCGCCTACCTACATCCTCAGCCCAAAGTAGCACACATCAGGGAAAACAAGGGGTGAATGGTGGTAAAGAATCTGTCACACACCAGCCCCTCAGCACAGGAGTGCATACAACACAGTCTTCTACACACGCATCACTTGTACCCTTTGTTTTAAAAATAAGCTCTCTAGCACACACCGGCCTTGAGCTGCTTATATAGCCAAGGGTGACCATGAGTTTCTGTTCCTACTGCCTTTCTCTACTTAAAGCCAGGATTACACGTGTATTCTGCCACTTCTGGTGTTATGTGGTACTAGGGATGGAAGCCCAGGGCCTTGTGTATGCTAGGCAAGCACTCTTCCAACTGATCTAAATCCTCAGTCCCACTTGCACACTTCTTAGAGTGTGACTCTAGCTGCCATATTCTCCAAAATTCTAACATCTCCAATGTTCAAGACATACAAGGGTAGGAGTCCTCTTGCCACTCTATGCTTTGAGTCATGG